GAGGACGACGGCGTGGCCGAGCTGCAGCGGCCCCGCAACGGCTTCCAGCGGCCCCCCGGCGGGGGCAAGCGGCGCAACAGCTTCAACGTCGCGGGCGGCGGCGGCTTCAAGCACCCCGCCTTCAAGCGCCGGCGCCGGATCAACTCGGAGTGCGACCCGGTGCTGCCCTCCGAGTTCCTGCTCGGGGGCAACATCTTCGACCCCCTGAACCTCAACAGCCTGATGGACGATGAGGTCAACCAGGCCCTCAATGCCGAGACCCCCAAGTCCTCACCGCTGCCCGCGAAGGGCCGCGACCCCGTGGAGATCCTCATCCCGAAGGACATCACCGACCCCCTGAGCCTCAACAATGCACAGGAGGACCCACCGGTGTTGGCCTCCCCGGCCAAAGTGGGGCGCAAGCGGCACCGCCACCGAGGGGCGCAGCGCGGGGTGAGCAGCGGGGAGGGCAGCGGCAAGCCTGGCCCCTCCTCTTCCTCCACCTGCTCCTCCTCGTCCTCGTGCAAGTCCTGCCAGAAGACCTGCAATGGGGCCGCCCCGCAGCCCTACGAACTCAACACGGCCATCAACTGCAGGGACGAGGTTGTGCCTCCCCTGCTCCCCGCGGCCGACGGGGAGCCACAGCAAAGCCAGCAGGCCTCCGGGGGCACCACCCCGGCTGGCTCGTCTGCCAGCCTTCCTGCGGGAACAGGGAGCCGCCACCACCACCGCAAGCGGCGCAGGACTTGTAGCAAATCGGAGGGGGCGGGGGCCAGGCACCCGGGAGGCTCCGCGTCGGGCCCGCAGCCCGCCAGAGCCAGCCCGGACAGGGGCCGCGGCGCGGCGCGCAGCCGTCACCCCCCGGCGGCCTCCGCGCAGCCCCAGCCCCGGCGGCAGGCGCAGCGCAAGTTCCAGTACGGCAACTACTGCAAGTACTACGGCTACCGCAACCCCACTTGCGAGGATCCCCGGCTGCGGGTGATGAAGCCCGAGTGGTTCCAGGGCAAGGAGGTGCTCGACGTGGGCTGCAACGTGGGGCACCTCACCTTGAGCGTGGCCAAGAAGTGGGGCCCCGCCAGGATGGTGGGGGTGGACATTGACGGGGGCCTCATCCACTCCGCCCGCCAGAACATCCGGCACTACCTTTCGGAGGAGCTGCAGGAGCAGCAGCCGCCGCCACCTAAGGGCAGTGCGGAGGAGGGGGCCCGGCCTGCCCGGAAGACCTTCCCCGCCTCCCTCATGGCCAGCAGGGGACCCATCGCTGCCCCTCGAGTGCCCCAGGAGGGGGTGGACGCCACCGTCTTCCCCAACAACGTGATCTTTGTCAAGGTAAGCGGAGCGCATGCATAGCCAGTGGCTTTACCTGGAGGTGGCAGGGCCTGGCCTGGCCTGGCGCAAGCTGCCGAGGGTCTCCGTGGGAGCGAGCAGGCCCGGGCTCTTGTCCCTGCCTTCCGAGGCGCCTTGTGGAAGGCACAGCTCCCCGTGCTGGCTTGGGGCTGTTTTGTCACCAGCTGAACGTGGGAGCAGAGCGGCCTTGCTGCCCGTCCCATCCCACAGATTCCCGGCATTCCTCAGCGGCGGTCCCTGCAGGCCTGGAGTTGGAATTTGCACCTGGCGTGAGCAAGGCCGCCCTTCTGGCTGGGGAGTCATGCCGAACCATCTTCTGCCATGCCCCCCCCCCCACCAGGCCGCTGCCGGAGCTGGAAGGCAGGAGTTAATGCCAGTGCACTGTGGGCTCGTCCCATTGGTGGCTTCCTTGCCCGCTCAGGCTGGTGGCCGGCAGAGCTGGTTGGCCCCCGCGGTGTGAGAGGCAGGGCTGACGCGAGGGGTGTCCCGAGTTTGCTGAGGACAGTAAACTGAGGAGAGGGCAAGGGTGGGGGGCATCGCTGGCGGGCCCCAGGTGGTGTTTTGGGACTTCCTTCCAGAGGAGGTCATGAGGTCGGGCCGACTCTCACTGGCTTGTCGGAGCCTCTCCTGCCACAGCCGCCTCCCCAGGATGAGGGGGGCCAGCCCTAGAGCGCAGCAGTTCCAGGCTTCCTCCTGACATCGGCCCGGGTTCTTCACGGCGGATGAAGGACTGGCACAGGACGCTCTCGTCCGTGGCAGCAGCCGCCCCGTTTGGTGGTGGCCCCCACAGCCCTGGTCCTCTCCCGGCCAGGTCTGGGGCATGTGGTGTGTCCTGGGCATCAGCCAGGGCAGTGGGGCGGGAGACCACGAGTGCCTGTAGTGGGAGGGGGTCAGCTGTTCGTTAGATTCAACAATTGCGAAAAAGATCTCCCCAGAGGACAATAAAACCACCGCCAAAACAATTAAACTGCGGTGGAAATAGCGCAACACTGGTGTTGTTCGGGAAACAGGTGAAGGTGTGCTGCAGCGGTGAGGCTAGGAAGGGCGTTGCTACAGGGAGGGCGCTGTGGGGGGGCTTGGCGAGCACCTCCCAAGGCCAGCGGGGGAGGAGGCTCCGGGGAGCTGAGCGGATGGGGAGCCGGGGGGGGGCAGCAGGCCCCGAGACAGGTAACCTTGCCCTCACGGTCTGCTCTGCTCTGATCCCGGGGGTGCGCTGGGCGCGAAGCACTCTGAGCCCCCGCCAGGCCTCTCGGCGCCTGCACGCGGTGTGGCCTCCCGCCCTCGGCCGAGGATGACTTTCGGTGCCCCGACACCGGTCTTCCGGGACTCCCGGATTCTCTGGGAGGCAGAACGCCCGGCGTGCGAGGCTGCCTGTCCTCGCCGAAATGGCCAGGACGGCCACTGAGCCGGCTTGTGAGGCGGCCTTGCGCGCAGAGGGGAGGAGAGGTGGCCGGCCACGCAGTAATGCTTTCTCCCGCTCCTCCGCCCCGGGTGCGAGCTGCTCGTGGGAGGGTCCCAGCTCTGCCCTCCGGCTGGCTTTTCCTGCTGGAGTGGACTGAACTGCCCCAAGTCGCAAGGGGAAGCAGAGGAGCTGCTCGGGGGGCTCCTCCAAAGGGTGTGGGGTGTGTGAAGCACTTGGGGAAACTGCCCGGGGTGCCTCCGGGGCCAGCCAGAGGGACTGCTGTGCACAGGCGCAGCTGAAGCGTGCACAGCCCCCCCCCCCCCCGCGCCTGGCCAGGGACCCAGGGGTGAGGGTGGGCGGTGCCGAGTCACTTATGGTGCCAAATAATGGGGGGCACGGCTTTCCCCCACACAATTTGGCAGGCGGCCTCTAGCCAGTCCACTCATTCAGCAAATACTCATCCCATTCGCTCTTGGGCAAGGCTGACACCCCCACACACTCGCCCCCAGCTAGCTAATAAGGTATTGAAAACCCCCGAGTTGTTAGTCTCGGCGGGCTGGAGTTGGAGATGTGGGGGGGGCAGCCCAGCTCCTTCCCTCTGCTGCCCCCACATGCTGTTCCGTCCCGGTGCCGTCGGGATTCGGCGCTGGCCTCGAGGCGCAGCTGCACCCAGGCAGGGGGTCAGGGGCACGCAGGCCAGAGTCGGCCAGCCCTGCGCTCTCCACCATCCTTGGGGCAGCCCCCTGTGCGCGAGGGCCGCATGGGTGCTCGGGGCTGCCGGGGGCCCGCCATTCTCGCCTGACCTCGGTGCCACCGCCCAGCCGGGGGAAAGGCCAGGGCAGGGCATGGCGGCCCGGCAGGCCGCGCGCTCCTGCTCTGGCGGGGCCGCTGTCCAGTGCGTGGGCAGTCCTGCCCGCCTCTGCAGCCGGTCCTGCTTGACCCGAGGAAGGGGGACGGCTGTGCGCGAGGAGTGCGCGAGCGATGCTTCCTCAGAGTGCCGAATGCCCCCGTGTCTCGGGGCGACTTCCTCCTCCCGAAGCAACCCGGGAGCGCAGGAAAAGCGGAGCGCGCAGAAGACGCACTTCAGGGTCGACTGCTGGTCAAAATATGTCAAAATGCCTTTTTCCTGGCCCGCTGTTTCCGCCTAGCCACCCAGTGTTCTGGATTCTTGCTCGTTTCAGCTTGTGTGTGTGCCTCCCCAGGTGGCCCCGGAGGAGGCGCTCTGGTGGAGCGCTGTGAGGGCAGGCCCCCTCCTGCTCTTTCCCGCCCCTCGCGCTTGCCAGGGGCTGCCCCACCGGTGCCAGGGCGGGGCGGCTCATGCGCAGCCTTTCTCCGGCCGGCGGCTCCGCGCCTGGGTGCCCGATGGCGCCCCGGGGGGCGGGGGGGGGCCTGCCAGTGCGGGCAGAGCGGGCCGGCCCCGCGCCGCGCCAGCTCGCCTGAGGGGCCCGCTCGTCTCCCGGCAGGGCAACTACGTGCTGGAGCGCGACGAGCTGCTGGAGGCGCAGAAGCCGGAGTACGACGTCATCCTCTGCCTCAGCCTCACCAAGTGGGTGCACCTCAACTGGGGCGACGAGGGGCTGAAGCGCCTCTTCAAGCGCGTGTACCGCCACCTGCGGCCTGGCGGCATCCTGGTCCTCGAGCCCCAGGCCTGGTCCTCGTACAAGAAGAGGAAGAACCTGACGGTGAGCGGGCTCCGCCGGGCCTGGCCCGTGGCTGCCGCACCGCGGATCCGGATCTGGTCAGCCGGTGCAGCGGCGGCTGTGTGTCTGTCTTGCCCCACCAGGCGAGAGCAGGCGCCCCGTGGCTGAAGGCCTGAGCCCTGAGTGTGGGGAGGTGTACTGGGGGGGCTCCAGGAAGGCCTGGCCCCACCAGAGCGGCCGCTGCCACTTCCCGGGAGGGAGCTCTGCCACGGGGCAGTGGCTGCAGCCACGGGAGGCCCTCCCCCCACGGGGGGCTCTTGCCTGGACCGCCTGCCGCCTCACCGAACACACGATGCTCAGCCCCGATTGTGGGGCGAGGGGGCATCCGGCCCCAAGCGTTGCTGCGGCACACGGGCTCTGGCTGGCCCCCGCTTGAGGGCCGCTTGCCCCTTAGCTGCTCCCGGGCCATGGCGAGCCAGAGGCTCCCTCGCGTGGCTCCCGGCCTCAGTTCTCCCCCTCTCCCCCTCAGGAGACGATATGCAGACATTACCACCAGATCAAGCTGAAACCTGACCAGTTTCCCTCTTACCTGACTTCGCCTGAAGTTGGTTTCTCCAGCCACGAACTGGTGGCCATGCCCCGGAACACGGCAAAAGGTGACTGGGGGGGGGGGGGGAGGAGCCGCTCCTGGCATGTGGCGTGGGGGCCCCTGAGCCGGACGTGCTGCTTCTGGAAGTGCGGGGGGTGGATTCCCACAGTTTGATGCCTGCTTGCTGTCTCACCCGAGAGGAAAGGCCTGGGCCTGGCCATCAGCTGTGCTGTACCAGCACCTGGGGGCTAAGCGGGGGGGGGGCTTGGCTGGGGTGCTGTCCCCCCCACCGGCAGCCCACACGGGGCGGGCCTCGGGGCACGCAGCAAGCAGGGCATGGGCAGGGCTTGCCAACTCGCAGGCCGCCACGTTCTGGGGAGGGAGGCCAAGAGAGGAGCGGCCCGGGGCCAGCCCCACTGCCACCTTTGGCCGGGGCAGCTGCAGGCCCCAGAGTCCCGGCCGGGACAGCCTCCCCCAGCCCCCGCTCCTGCCTCGGTCCTGAGCCCCTCGCCTCTGCTGCTACTGGCGCAGCGCCCTGTGCGGAGCCCAAGGCTTGTCAGGTGGGGCTCCTGGGGCTGGAGCTACGGGGGGGTGGGCTAGAGGAGGCGACACGGCAGGGGCCCCTCCGCTGCCTAACCTGTTGCCTTTTCTCTGGGCTTTTCCTGCAGGCTTCCAGCGCCCCATCTATCTCTTCCACAAGGGCTGCCCGGGCACACGCTGAGGACTCCCTGGCTTGCCGCCAGCGGTCCCATGGCGCCCGCCTCCTTCCTGGATCAGCCACCATCGCTTGCTGGGGAGGTGGGCCGGCGGGCCACCCCCGTGGACCCTTTCCCAGGTGGGACAGAGCAAGCCGGAAGTGGCCCTGCGGCTGCCTGGGCTGGACTCGAGCATACCTTCGATTATCCCCGGACGGCAAAGGCCGGCAGCTGGAGTGGGACCTGCGCTGCAGGGGAGGCGGCGGGCTGTGGGGCCTTTTGGTCCCGAGGTGCCTCCCTCCCGAATTCCCGGTGGATGCAAGCGCCGGTTGCAAGCGCTTTGCTGCCCCTGCCTCAGGCGGGCAGGGAGCGAAGATCGCGGCCTGCTCCCCCGCCCCAGGAGGAAGGGGATGGGGAGAGGACTGCTCCCCCGCGGCCACTCTGGACTGGGCCTCCTTGCCCCGGCCGGCCGGCCGGCCCCTGCCGCTTGCTTCCTCCCTCCCACCCCATTCCTGCCGGGAAGGAGACTCCCCAAGGAAGTGTCCCCTGGTTCTTTTTCTGCCTCCTGCGTTTCCCTCCACTGCCTGAGCCGGGGGGGGCACAGGTGGCAGGTGGGTCGTGTGCGCAACTCCAGTGCGGGGGCCGCCTGCCCGCAGCACGCCCGACCGGGCCCCCTTCGCTGTTCCCTGGGCGCGGCGTGTCGGTGCCTCCCCGGGGGCAGCCCGGTGGCTCGACTGGACAGACTTCTGCTGCGGCTCCAGCCTCTGCGCCCCTGCCGGGGGGCCCGCGTGACCCGCTTTCCCCACGGATGGTTTGCGCCCACCGGCCTGCCCTTGCACCACGGAAGGGGCTGGCCCCAGAGGCAGGAGGCGCCCGTGGGGCCGGGGCCGCCTCCATGCCACTTGGGTGCCTGCTCGGGAGGGAGGGCGAGGGGGTGCTGCCGGCCCCCGAGCAGCTTCCTGCTGCTCCTGGAGGGGCTGCTGGAGGCCCCTGAGGTGGGGCGAGTCCATCTCCCCAGCCCCCTTTTGTGGGGACATCCGGGAGGGAGCCGCTGTCCGGCCGAGACGCCCCTTTGCGGAAACACGCACCTCTCGGGGGCACAGAGGCAGCGCCTGCCCCAGCAGCCGGGAGCCCCGTTCCCACAGGAGTTTTATCTTCAGAACACGTTGATTCTATATACAAATAAAGCCTACAGATTATTACCAGCCGCTGCTCTTGTCTGTGTGCCAAGGTGGGGGTGCGGGGGGGGGGGCGAGAAAGGAGGGCCACGCGGGTGCAGTCAAGCTTTATATGTACAAACACGGAGTGGAAACGAAGGGGCGCGGTGCCTCCTGCAGTCCGGGTGGGGGGGGGGTCGCAGCGGCACTGGGGGCTCCTGCTTCTTAGCTGTCCCACTGCTGCAGCTTCCGGTACATGAAGAAAGCGGTGGCCGGGGGCCGGGGCCGGGGCCGGAGCCGGGGTGGCGGCAGTCCCGGCACGTCGAGGCAGGGGCTCTCCGTGAGCAGCTCCCGGGGGTCGTGGAAGGCCAGCAGGTCTGGGCCGGCACAGTCCGGCTGCTGCTGCGGGAGAGAGCGAGTGAGGCCCTTCCTCCGTGGCCGGCCGTGCGGGGGCCGCGTGGGGAGCCCCTGGCCCGCGGGCCAGGCACGGAGGAGCCGTGGCCGCCGTTCTCCATGGGCCTCGCACCTCTGGCCGGGGGCCCCGCGATGCTGCGCTGTCGGGCACCCGTGTGTGTCAGTGCGTGAGCAAGGAGCCGGCGCGCGCAGGTGGCAGCCCAGCCCCAGGCGGGAGAAGGTTCTCCGCTCGGCGCAGAGGCAGTGCCACCTGCGCAATTTGCGGCGCCCCCCTCCGTGCCCTTTTGCGACACTGGGGAGGGGTCTGTTGCTCTGCAGGCGCCTGTGGCCTCCGCAGGGGACGGGGGCCCCACACTCACCCTCTTGGCCTCCGGACGATGCCGGACGAGCGCGAGCTTCTCCTGGACAGCCGAGCTGAGCAACTCGTCCTCCGGCACACGCAAGCTGACGAGGCCTTGATAAAGCTGCTGGTCCCGGGGAATGTTCATCCCTGCAAGAGCCGAGTCGGGGCCCCTGAGCACGCAGGCAGCATCCCACCACAGGGGGGGGGGCAGAGCGGCGAGCGGTTCGAGAGCGGCACCCCCCTTTCCCTTGCAAGTCAGAGCAAAGGCTTGGCCTCGCCCAACTTCAGTTCCACTACAGATTTAGGGAGCATCTCTTAGGACGCGGCTCCGGGTGCAGCAAGGGCGACTCACTCCACCCGGACTGGGGCTCGAGTGCCCCCACAGAGGCCCCCCGGCTGGGCTGAAGAGTCGGGCCCGGGGTGGGGCAGGCCAGGCAAGGCATGCTGCAGGCAGCCATCCGCAGGACTGGCAGTGCCCAAGGAGGGCCGGTAGGAGCCCTTCATGCCCCCCAGTGCAAAGCCCGACTAGAACCAGCGGAGGACGTGAAGCCACCGGAGGCCAACCCACCGGGCCGTGAGAGCGCAAGGGACGGGAGTCTCCCAAACTTTTCTCGGAAAGGGACAGAGACTTGGCAAACATGCCCAGGTTGGCGAGCTTTTTCCAGCCGGCGAAAGTCTCTTGCGTCCGTTTCCCTCCCTCCCCTGGCAGGACGTGGGATTCTCTGGCCCTCATGCCCCCCTTCCATGTATAAGAGCCGTGTATGGGATTCTCTGGCCCCCTTTCCACGTACGGAGGGTTTCTCAACCAAGACTATTTGGAGCCGGTCTCCTTAACAAGGATGGAGCTGAGCCTCAGGCACACGCGCCAGAAAGTGCTGTATGTTTATTTGGGTGCCGAGAGGCCTTCCTTCATCAAACGGGACTCGGGAGAGGACCGTTCGCAGAAGGGCACGCGAAGCCCCCCACGCAGCCGGAGGACCCCGCTCCGTGCCGAGCAGCTCTCGGGGCCTGGTCCCAGTCGTGGATGGGGTGCGGGGCAGGGTAGGTTCCCCGAAAGCTCACTGCCAGGAGCTGATCACCGGGGAGCCGTCTCAGCCCTCCAGAATGGGGGGGGGGGGGCAAAAGCCAGGAGGCCGCCAAATGGCTGAGGGGAAGGCGCCCACCCGCAAGGGCTGCCCTTGGCCCGGAGCCCAGCATCCCCGTTTCTGCTGGCTGGCCACAGATGTTCAGCCTTTGCGCATGAACAAGGCCAGGAAGCGAATGCGAGGCGCACGCTGTGCTTGAACCTTTCTCCTGGCATCCCCTGGAGCTTTCTAGCCACTGGGCCATGCTGCCTTTCCAGTTGGCTGTATTACTGCTGGTGCTTGCACGTGTGATGCTTGGGCTCATTCGCCACGCAGGGAGGCCTCCACAAGTGGGAAGCGGAGGCCGTCCGCGAGGCTCTGCCCCCCCCCCCCGAGTCCCACACGCAGGAGCCGTCGCACTCACCGGGGCCCACCTGCGCCTCCACGGCACAACGGGCCACAAAAGAGCTCTGCACCAGTGCCTCTGCCGCCTGCCGGGCATCGAAGCCCTGCTCTTGCGCAGACTGCACCTCTGCCCCCAGCGCGAGGGTGCTGTGGGGGACTGGGGTGGCCAGCACGCTGGGGGTCTGAAGCAGCCCCTCCGCTCCGCAGCCCCTCCTGGGCTCCGCCTTCAGCGCAGCCGTGGTGGGGAGGCTGCCGGACTCGCCCGGGGCCTCTTCGGCTGGCTCCGCTCGCCTGGGCACTTCCCGGCTGCTCTCCCTCGGTTCCTCGGAGACAGATCCCAGCCTGAAGCGAACCTGCAGGGGAACCAAGGAGCTCATGCAGCCGGGCTTCAGCGGGCGGGGAGGCAACCGCGCGGGTGCTGACCGGGGTCCTGGGGGCACAGGCACGGAGGATTGCTCCAGACAAGGGTGAGCTGCATTTCCGATAATTTCAACAGCTTAAGCTCCCGAGCAGGAATACTGCGTCCTTCCAGGCAGGGAACACCCGGGATGCAGGAACCGGTTTTCCCAGCTTTACCTGGAGCTGCCAGGGATCGAACGTGGGAAAGCACTCAGAAATGGTCCCACAGGGAGCACGCCAGGGGTCTTGGCATTCCTTGCCCCTTCTTCGCCGGGCTTCCCAACCTGGCGGCTTTGAGCCCCCCTCACCCGCCCCATGTACCTGTCTGCGTGGGGGCCTCCCCTGCAGGCGCCTCCGAAGGATGCCACCCCCTGCCCGGCCAGCGCAGCTTCGCTCAGGGGTCAGCGCCACATCAGGATCGGGGCTCAAACTTCGGGACTGCGGGGGTGGGAGCGGGCTGGGGGCAGTGCAAGGGAAGCTGTCCCGGTCGTCTCCACAGGAAAGACTGAGGGTTGCAGCCATCGTGGAGGGGGGGCTGAGAAGGCGAGCAGCCGCTCCTGTCAGAGAGAGAGAGCGTGGGGGCAGTGAACACGTCGGCAGCATGGGAGGCGGTTCTCCGGAGGGCGCCCGGTTGGGGAAGCCTGAGCTAGCAGCGCGACCCTCCGTTCCCCCACCAGAGGGCGCCGTTTCTCGCATCTGTGCAGCTTAAGCTTCTCCGGGAACCCTCCATGAAAGAAATTAGGAGAGTAAGTATCCGGAGGAGGGCTTTCTCTGCGGTGGCGCCCAACCTATGGAATTCACTCCCCAAAGAGGTCCGCCTGGCACCGTCGTTACTGGTTTTTCGGCGCCAGGTAAAGACCTTTTTATTTAAACATCATTTCAATTGTTAAAACATATGATCTGGCCTGGGCAACTTCTTCTTCCTTCTCTTTCTCCTCCTATATTTTTATTTTATACTGATAATTTTAATTTTGTATTTGTAAATCAATGTATTTTTTGTATTGTCATATTTTATGGTAATTTATTATGTACTATTGTATTTCAATGTATTTTATCATGTTGTAAGCCGCCCCGAGGTTTCGGCAAGGGGCGGCATAGAAATGTTATAATAATAATAATAATAATAATAATAATAATAATAATAATAATAATAAACAGGCAGAAGCCCCGCAATTGGACCCCAAATGCTTTCCAGACCCTCCCCCCGGCCGCCCTTTTTTGGAAGCGGCAGAAACTGGGGGTTCGGGGGCCGCCTTTCGCAGAAGGCTGCCGGGTGCGGGGCGCCACCGGGCCGAGCAGAGATGCCCCCTCCCGCGCGCCTCGGCACGGCCGGGAGCCCCTCGGTCCTCTCGCTCGGCCTTGACGGCGGGAGGAAGGGGCGGGCGGCTCGGGGCGGGCTGCCCGGGACGCGGCGTCCCTGATCTGCCCCGCGCGCCCTGCGCCCCCTTGCAGGCTCCCCGGGGCATTTCGTGCCGCCTCGGCCGCTTCGCACCTCTCTTTTCCCGGGCTACTCAGCCAGCGGCTGTTCCTCCCCGGGAACAGTTTGCGACCCTCGCGCACCCCACGCCCCGCGAGACGCTTTCCAAGTCTTCCTTTCCTTCACCTCCTCCGCCGGTTTTCCGTCTCCTGCTCCGCCGCTTCTCCCTCCGCGAAACTCCACTTTTTTTACCACTAACCGGGAACGGTTACGGGCCAGGGGAGAAGCAGCCTCGCTTTCAGTCCAAGATGGCGCCAGGCTGAAAGTGCCCTATCTAAACCACTGGGGGTGATAGAGTCGCGCGGCAGCACTGCCCTTCCCGGCTCTTCCGGTCTAGCGACTTTCCAATGCAAAGTCGAGCGAGATCTTTCGGCGAGGCGTGCCAACTCCTAGAGCGGCGGCAGCACCATTGCGCCCCCTGGAAAAGGAAAGACGGCGTAACCAAAGTAAGTCGAAGGCGCATTTGGATGACGTAAAAGCAAAAGCGCGCTCCTCCTCCTCGCTTTGAATCAAAGATGGCAACTGAACTGGAAATACTCTATCTAGTCAATGAAGTGGAGGCGGGGAGGGAAAACCTCCTTCTGGGTTGAACATGGCGGCCCAAGGGAAGCCGCGCCTGCGCACTTGGCATTTTCTTAGTGCAAGATGGCGGGCCAAGGGACTCTGGGTTACGGGTTCGAAACCGGTAACTGGAAGTTGAGGTGGGGGGGGGGCTATTAAAATTTGCAGGCGGTTTTTCATTCTAAATTGTTAAATCGAACTGGGATAACCTACTAATCCAAACCAATTACCACTAAGGCAAAGCGCTACAGTTTCTACCAAGCCGGAGGCAAATTTCCCCAGGAAATAGGGACCACCCTCCTGCAACACTTGGTAGCAATGGAAGATGGGATCTGTTTCCTTCCAGGCTGACAGAGCTCCTCAGATTAATAAAGCTGCCCCTGCACACACCCTCACCTCGAACGTACCCTCCTTACCCCACCAGGGTTGCAGTCCTGAAAACACGCAAGACGCAAACGTTTGCATTTTTAGAGACAAAATCCGAGGACTGCAGGGACCCAGCTGGCTGTGCTCCCAGAAAAGGGGGAGCTGTGGGCCGGGGTGCCCGTGCTTTTGGTTCTCTGGGCCGCATGGAAGAAACAACATTATCTTGGGCTGCATATTAAATACACAAACACTAACAAAAGCTGATAAGCAGCAAAAAATTGTGCATAATTCTGGTGATACCCACCTCCACAGATAAGCAAAAAAGTCCTCACATCATCCTAATTACGTGGCACCCCGCTCGCTCGGAGAGTCTTTTAAAATTGCCGAGCAAGTCCATAGTTTGTGAGCACTAATAGAGAAAATGAACACATCTAAGTAATAAAGCTTCACTGATTTTTTATTATAAAAGTAAAAGAAAAGAGAGCAACATGAAACTAGCGGGATATTTGACATTGCATCCGTATCTGGTTCAGTGGAAGCACTTGCAATTCCCAGAGAGTTCCCAAGGTGTTCATCAGATACCCTGGCTCTAATCTTGCTCTTGGTGGGCTTCATTCTTGTAAATAGTTGCTCACAGATGTGGGTGCGGCCAAAAGGCGAAGGCTTGAAGAAGGCGTGATTGTGAAGCGAGGGGCGCTTGTCTCTGGGACGATGGGACCCATAAAAGCCCATGAGCAGGTTTTTCTTTAAGCTGCATGTCAGGCGTCAGCTCTGTGCATCCCATTTGAAAACTGGCAGGCAACTCATTTATGTCGACTGAAAGTGGAGTCACAAGTATACCAAAATAGTGCTTGTTTCCCCAGAAATCTTGAAATCTGTTTTCAAACTCTTGTATCAAATCGAAAAGCAAGGCTGCATATGTTTCGCTGTCCACAGGACTGTTTAACCAACGAGTCGAAATGTATAAAATTGTTTGCAATGGCAGGTTGAAAGATGATTGAAAATAGCTGCGTTTCACTTGCCAAGTCACCACGAGCAGGTGCAGCGTCTGATGGGGTCAATCTGACTGTCTGCGCTTGGAAGGTAATACACTGGAATTACACAGCTGTAAAACTGAAGCAACATGCATACAAATACTGAGAGCATATGTAAGTTTATTTTATGTGACATCGCGACACGACATTGTAGATGACAATGTACACACTGGAGAACTGTGCAATCAAGTTACAAAAAAATTGAAAAAAATCTCATAATGTTTTAAGTAAGTTTGTGATTTTGTGTTGGGCCGCATTCATGGCCATCCTGGGCCGCATGTGGCCCCCGGGCCGTGGGTTGGTCACCCCCATTGTAGGCCTTTTCCCCCAATCTCATACACTGGGGTCTGCCCTTCCTTGGGAACTTCTGTAATCCAGCACCCCGAAAGTATTTACATCTTCTTGCAATCTTTCCATTGACCTAAGAAAGCTATTGCACTAACCAGGATTTGGGGTTTTTCCTACGGCTGCCTGGAGATGAGTCACCTTAAAATCCGATAAGGGATCCGATAAGGAAACCGTGGAAGCGGGCTTGGGCTACTCCAGCCCCCTCCCCGTCTCTTGGCCTTTGCCGTCCTAACTGGCAGCTGCAGTGGGAATCCGGCCCGGACCTTCTGGGGACCAGTGGGGTGGTGTGCGCACCGAGCCCAGTCCTTCCCGCAGAGCAGCAGTGGCCATCTGGCTTGCGGGCAGAGGTGCGCCCCTCGCTGGGCAGGCTGCCCGGCCGCACACGCTTTCCCCGGGCACGGGGCTCCCAAGGCCGCACACGCGCTCTCAGCCGCAGCTGCCAGAACCGGGGGGAACCTGCGCACGGCTCCAATTCTGGAGTGTCAGCAAAATCTGCTATTTGGCAGCTCGCTTTATCTCTCGCTTGCCCTCCTCCTCCTCCTCCGCCAGCGCCACCCCGTCAGGAAATTCCTGCCGTCGCTTCCAGACATTCATCTGCGGTGGGTTATTGTTTGGTCCCGAGTGCAGCGGAAAGCGCGATCGGGGCGGGAGGGCAGGCGCTTCTGCATGGGGCTCCGGGGCTCTTTCACAGGCAGGCTTGGGGCCCCTTCGTGGAGCCGGCGATGGCAGACGCTGCCATCGCGGGCGGTTCACACGGTGCTTCGATTGTGCCGGCAACGCCGTCCCGCCCCTCTGGGCTTGGCCCCTTTGCAAACACAGACCCCCAACATCGCCGGGCCGCCTGGCCCAGGACTGCCCCCTCCGGCTGGCGACCGCTCTCCGGGGCGAGAGGGGCCCTTCCTGGCCTCTGTCCCGGAGCCCCTGAAGGGAGAGGGCTGGACGGGCCATCCCACGTGCAACGCCGCGCGCCCAAATCCCTCGCCCTGCCCCGGCTGGGCTCTCCTCTCAGCGCGGAGGAAGGCCGGAGTGCTCCCAGCGTCCCCCGCCAGCGTCCACCTCCCAGGACTCCCCAGCCAGCGGACCGCATGACCAGCCGGAGAACGCCAGCCAGCCGTCGTTGGATCGTTTCTGTTCAAACACCCTGGACACACATGGACAAGATCCCACCTCCGCCAGTAATGCTGGCTTTTGGTCAACCAAGGAATTGGCCTTTAGAAGTCAAGCTTTGGCTTTTGAACTTCAGTTCTGGCAACCCAAGGTGTAACGTGTTACGTGCAGGGCTTCATTCAAACTTGGGACTGGTTTTGGGGTACTTTAATATTGATATCGTTTTTATTCCTTTCATTTCTCTCTGCCTCTCACAGCCAAAGATCTCTGGGCAGTTTATGCAATCCATAAAAACAAAGGATAAAACCCAATTAAAATGTCAGAAAAATCAGGAAAAATGTAGAAATGTAAAACAACTAAACAGAGAGGGCAAAATAAACGACCCAAAGAACAATTGGGTGACCCCCTTCAAGCCCCTTGCGTGGCCACGTATGTCTCTAAAAGTCCCAGAAAAGAGGTTTGGTACCCGCCAAAGGGGAAGTTATTTCACATCCAAGAAAGCCCTCGCTCTCGTTGCCGCCCTCTGCACTTCCCTCGGAGCTGACACTCGGACGAAGGCCCCAGAGGTTGAGTGAAGCGTCCAAGTAGAATATTTCATTATTGATATCATGCATTATTTTGGGGTTTTGTAAAAATAACCAAAGTGTCTTTCCATAAAAATAGGAGAATGCCGTTAAACAGGCAAACAAAAGCGACGTGAAAAACAGAGCAATAAGAACGCCACACTGCCGCAAATTTAAGCATTAATAAGCCGAGTTCAGAACTAAAAACCCTCGTGGGAAGCAGTTAAAGTTCTCCACGCAGCCGGTGCAGTAAAAACCAGCTGGGCCTGGGTTGTTGCTGGGGAGGAAAGGACCCCTTGACTTTCCTTAAAACAGGCAAAGAGGGACCTTTGCCTCAGAACCTGTCTGCACACGGAGGGGTTGCACGTGAAGTGATCCTCAAGAAGAGAGTGCTTCTGTGCATGCACAGAGCTCCTGGGACTGAGCTGCGGGGGGGTCCCCATCAGCAAGCACTCTGCAATGCTGAGGCATCTGTTTAGAAAGGGGCAGCGTCTATGGCAAATGAGCGGAGCAGAGAAACCAGATCGAGTGCGGGAAGGCAGCGTCATGCCGGCTTTCTGCCCGAGGGGCGCAAACCCGCCCGGCCTGCTGGGGGAGCCCAGGGCCTCGGGGGGCCGAGCCGGTGCTTCCCCCAGGCAGCGCTGGAGTGTGGGAGGAGGGGGCTCTCCTGGGAGGCTGCTGCTCCGGGGCTGGCGAAGATGGCAGTGGAAGGGAAATGAGGTCTGATTTCCTGACATCGGTTCCCTCCCTGCCAGGGCTTCCCGAGAGAAAGGGAGAACAAAAGAACTTTCCGGTTCGGGAAAAAAGAGGGCAAGGAACAATGTGGTGGCACACGGAGGGTTAACGTCAGGGGGCTGAGGTCCTTTGGGTGGGGGGTGCGCACTGGAAGGGCGGGTGGGGCAAGCAGGCGGCCGGGACAGCCCTGGCTGGGCACACCGGACCCCCGGGTCCTGTGTGGGGGGAGGCTGGATACGGAGGGAGGGGCTCATCGCCGGGGGCAGGAGCCAGGACTCCTGGGTCCCTGGGGAGGGGGCAGGCGGGGCGGACCGCAGGGCTCAGTTCTGGGAGGAAGGCCACACCGGGGGGGCAGGTTTAGGAAGACACCAGGCGGCGGGCCGTGTGGGGCGGCCTGTAGCACTGCCCCCCCACATAGCGTGGCGCAGCAGCGGGGCAGGGGGCTCCTGGCTGACTTGGCTTCACAGTCCGGCCTGGTGCCCCTTCCCTCTCCCACCCCGACACCCATCGGCCACCCCGGACGATCTCGAACGCCGGTGCCGCAGAAAGATAACTGGCGAGATTCAAAGCACGCTGAACGGCCGGCAGATGAGGACCATCTGGGCG